CCTATATATATATATATATATATACATATATATAATATATATACATATATATATATATATATACGATTAAAAATTAATATTAAATACGTATTATATGTATGTATGTGTGTATATATATATATATATCGTTTTCGGATGAGAATGAACGATTCAATCGCGTGTAGATCGATTATTGGACACGCACTGATGGTCGCACGCGTGCACACACCCACACACGCACACCGCACTATGTATACTATAAGAGACGTGTGTGTGCGCGTGCGAAGGTTGCACGCGTGAAAGATGGCAGGCAATTATCGATCTTCGACGTGTATATCACATCGATTTGTGATTAGTTGCACGCAACAACAGACACAATTTCGTTTGCAACGTGCGCGCACGCGTCATCTCGTTTGTTCCAGTTTTTTTTCGCGTATGTATATATATATATATGTGTGTGTGTACATATATACATACATATACATTATATTTTATGATTGTCGTTGTTAAATTCGTCGCATGACATAGGGTTTTACCCCCGTCCATCGCCGCAGTAGTAGACGTATTGGATACGACGTAATTGAAAAATCCGGATTTTACGAGATAAACGAGAAGATGAATGAACCTAGGTTACCGCAGAAACTTAGATAAACAAAAAAAAATGGATAAAATATTATAAATAATTATACTATTATACATACATTATCTACATACTTATACAAGCGCGTATAAATATGTAAAGGTCTAACGTTGTATACGTCGTGGATGAGAGAGTCCGAGGAATAGAATGAATTTATTATGGCAACGCTTTCTTTCGCTCGTGCGTACGAATATATGACATTGTCGCTCTTCTATTAACCCTTTCTCTGCCCTCGAGTATTCGTTCCACGCGCGTCATACACACACACACACACACACACACACACACACACATTTTCCCGCGTTCCAATCCTTTTGGATACAGCTTTTACATTTCAAAGTGATGTAAAGTGGTGATCACTTTCTCGTTACAACGGGAGTTAATTGAACAATCGCGATCCTTTGCGTTTAAAGATATCAACGGCCAGCGATCAACAATCTCATTATTTCTTTGTTACACGTTGCATGGTGAACACAGTATTTTTATGAAACTCCCGCTAGATTATCTATCAAATCATTTCAAAGTTATATTGTTAAATTACTTTGTTCAAGAAGAAATTACTGTTATATATTAACGTTTATCTATTATTACTAGAGAGGAGAAAGAAATTTTGTTTTAAAAGAAAAGCGTGGAGTTGGAGAACGGCGACAGTATTAGGGTTAAATTGGAACGTACAAGGGTCGATTCTGTTTCTCACGGATAATTCTTAAGATACATGCGATTAGACGAAATCAGCCTAGTACGTATATACATACATATACATATATATTATACACACTCCCACATATACACTCGAGTACACAAACAGACAAAAAAAAATATATATATATATATATACATATGTATAAATATAAATATTATGAATTTTACTACGGATTGCAGTGTGCATATGCAATTTGATCGAGAAACAACGAGGTCTCGATAAGCGATTTGACGATTTTTGTGATACCTGTCAAATATGTAAACGGCAAATCGATCTTCTCGATAGACGACCACGCTTTTCGTTTGTCTCAGTCATGGTGTAATTTCGTACGGACGCCTGTACGAGCGTATTTTCAACGGAGACAAGACAAATGCTGCACCAACGACCATGTTATTTACACCTCACGCAGAATGATTTTCGGCTTATATCTAGAGAAATCGCTGATCGCGTGCGAGTTGAGCGTTAACGAGGATTAAACGCAAGATAAAAGAAAAAAAAGAAAAAAATGAGTACAATGAAATCTAACGTAAAAAAAAAAAAAAAAAAAAAAAAAAATAGAAAAAAGAAAAGAACAAGAAAAAAAAGAAAGAATTCATAAATAAAAATATAACCAGATGATGTTAAAGTATAAATGTCGCGTTGGAATCAAATCGTTGGCGAACGAGCGTCCAGGATTGACAATTGAACACACAAATCGATTGCATCGTCCCCTTTTCTTTTGTATCGTAACAAGATACTTCGTGAATTACTTTTACGGAAATACGAAAATCCATTGCGAAAATCCTGAACAATTCGAATAGCGAAAAAGATCAGCCATCCGTTATTATTTGTTGAATTTTAATTTTAAAAAAATTGTATCGTTCGTTGCATCCTCGTCGTTCAAAATTAGTGAATATCGAATATCGAAGATCAATCGGACGCTTGACGTTCGTTCGACATAGCAGTTCCATCGCGACCGATATCGCGTGCAATAAAACAAAATATGTAAACAATATTAATATCATTATATACAACATTTTTACGGCATATACGAATACGATGTAGAGAAATGCAGGTGAAACAAGTTTAGGATAATATTACTTGTTGTTGTCTACCATAGCGTTGTAGTTATATACAATACAGGTAGAAAATTATAGGCAAGCCGAAGCGAATGTGTGAAAGAACAAATGCGAGAGCGAAAGTGAGAGAAGGAGAGAAAGAGAGAGAGAGAGAGAGAGAGAGAGAACGCATGTGAAGTAAAATGAGCGTGAGAGAGAGAGAGAGAGAGAGAGAGATGCGAATGAGTCGAGAAAGAGAGAGAAGAAAATTTGATGCAATTTGACGAGCGTACATGTTATTCTTACTTAATACAACTATATATATTCACATATATATGTATTATACATATATCTATGTGTATATATACATACATACATACATAAATACGAGGAAGCTAGTTATTTAAAAGCAACAACAACCAACAGAAAAAAAATCAATGATTAATATTATATACAGAAGTCTATACATACAAACTTTAAAGAACGTGTGCCTATGTGCGCACGTGCGTACGCGCGCGTACGTGCGGACACTCGACAACCCCAAATCCACCCGATTCTTACTTCCTACTCGATCAACCATTCTGCAGCCTCTCTCTTCTTTCTCAATTCTGACATCCATCCATCCATCCATCCCTTCTCTCTGTCCCCTTTCACTCCCATCCACCCATCCATCCATCCATCCATCCATCCATTCCTTCCCTCAACCCCTCTGACCATTCCATCCCTCATCCTATCGCTCTTTTTCTCTCTTTCTATCTCTCTGTCTCTCCCTCCATTCTATTTCACACGCACTTGCGCACATATCCATGACGCATTATCGTAGCCGTGTTGTGTAGGGAATGTCTTTAATGAATAAGATACGATTTCTCATGTTACATGTTATAAGAAACAAAAAAAAAAAAGAAGCAGCAAAAGTAATTACAAAAAAAAAAATAATAATAATAATAAAATAATAACGAGACAAATCTCTTCTCCGGTCAGTTGCAGGATCGCTCGAACGTTGTCGAATCAATAACCCTGTGGACGGTTTCGCGTTGTGTAAAAAAAGAGAAGAATAATAAAATAAAAATAAAATATCAAGCGCAGAAAGGAGAAAATATATTAAAGAAACAAGGAAACAAAACAAAGAAAGACGATTTGAAAGAAAAGGCGAAGGGAACTTTCGTTGTACACATACACTCTGTACATTACAAGTTGTTCGTATTCATTATTATTGTTATTATTATTATCGCTACGATTATTATAATTACTATTACTATTATTGCTACAGATATGTGTATATATGTATACATGTATAGCAGTGTGTATATACATATAGACACGTATTACGCGTTTTACACGTGTTTTGCCAGCCGCGGTGTTCCTTTATTCGTGGCTCAACTTTTTTCTCTCTTTCCACCCAACCCGTTTGCTGTGCCAGAACCAAAGATCGTGCTTGTCTCGTCATGAAAATATGTGCGAGTCGATTAATAAATCGGTCGAAATATTATAAAAATAGAAAAATATTACTGAAAATGCGATTAAAATAGGTTGACGCGTTCAATCGTTTATCATCCCTCATCTTTGTTGTCTCACTTGAGAATTAAAAATTTTTCCTTGAAAAAGAATTATAAAAAATTAACATATTATTGTTTCATTTTACGTTTCAAAGTTGGAACGATCTTTAAAATGTTCGATATTCTATTATAGTATTCGTTTGAGGCACCAGCCTATAAAAGTATGCATTTTCTCCAGAGAAATGCTATCACGCAAAGATGCATGTATCTTTAGAATTCCTTTGAAACCTTTAAAATTGCTTTCTCTTGTTCCATTGCTACGATTATGTCATTTCCCTTGTCGGTTGAACAAAATTTAACACTTCGTATTTTGATCTTCTTAAAATTCATTTCACTTTGTTTCTTTCTCACGTACAAATTGGACGATGAAAAATTGATGAACATATTCTTTTATTTCGCTTTTCAATTGGTCGAGTCAAAACTGTTGAAAAAAAAATATTTTCCAAATAATTTAATAAATCAAGAAGAATATTGGAAAAAATTAAATTTCCAAGACGCAATTTCGATCAACCCGCTTGAGTATTAGTTTAAATTGAATATCGAAAAAAGTATATATAATATTTTATATTTAATATATTATATTGGTTAAAAAAAAAATAAAAGACATCTTGTTATCAGGATGAACCGCGATCGAAGCGTCAGCTCATGAATTGAAAAAGAGAAAAAAGAGAGAAAGAGAGAGAGACGAGAGGATGCACGATTCGCGAACAATGGATCGGATATGCGGGTCAACGATGCCAGCCAACGTTGTGCCCAATTTTTCCTTATACTTAACTTTGACCGAGAGAGTCCTCACGGCACGGCGTAGATGGAAAAGTCGGGCGGTGGGTTATCGATCATTAAGAACCAGATATATATGCATTATTCCGTACCAAGTACGGCTAGAGCTATCGAGTAATTTAATATAGAATTAAAACAGTCAACTGTATCGCGATTAACGCGCGCGCGCGCGCGCGGAGCACGAACGAAGAAAGGCCTGCATCGACTATCTTTCCTCCACACTTTTAACCCGATTTCCCGTTCCTTCCGAAAAAAATCCAATTCCCGTTATTCTAATATTCCTGCCTCCCTCTAACCCTCAACAAAAACAAAACAACATATTGTAATCTATTGTAGATTGTTGTAGATAAATTATACGGTTTGACCGTACATTGTTACTTTTTGTCGACAATATAAAATACACAGATATATAAGTAATTAACGTCTCGTTCCAGTTATTTTATTATATTTGTTATCTGTACAACACCTTATAAATTGACTTGAAATTGTGGGAGAGGAAAAAACCTTCTATTCAATGATTTCAACATTTTGTTAAATTATTTTTAATTGTTATCTAATAAAAAATAAAAAAAATTATACAGGAGAATGAAATAAATGAACTCGGTGATCCAAATATCACATTTCGATATAAGAAATTATTTACAATTTTTGGCAATTTGTTTAAAAAAATTAGTGGGTAATAGATGGCATACTGGGTGAACCCACCACATCTATTATGTCTGCTTTAACTTCAGGCTCTGTTTTTGGTAACAAGGCAGGTGGTATCGTTAATGTCTGAAAATTTGATTGCATTTATGTTATTTCTCAGAAAAATTGAAATTTATCATTTAAATAATATACCTTTCCAGGCGCTAAAGCTTCGTATTGATGCCTCAACGATTGCAATTCATAATCGCATGTCGATAATGCACTCCGAAGTTCGTAATGCAAAACGATATCACTTCTTAATTCATTAAATTGTTGGCATATTTGTTCAGTAGGTGGTGGATTTAATTCTTTAAGAAAATATATCGTATATATAAAATCAAATCAAGAAAAATGAAATGAAAAATAAACTGCATATTTGACGATACCTATCCGAAGTTCATTGAGCATTTGTTCAATACCCTTCATTTTTTTTTGACCTAAACTACTCGGCAACTTTATTCGTTGAGAACGAAGAGAAACACCGCTATTTTTAAAATCTGGAAATTTAATTCCAGCTGATTCCACTGTCTAAAAATTTTAAAAAATCTATATTAATATATTTTTGCAAAATTATATAATATCACTTCAATATCAATATTTCAATATTATCTGATATTGTAGAAAAATATAATTATGATTATTACATGAGAAGTATCTGCTTTGTTTGGTCTATTTCGAGCTGAAGCACCAGTCTTCTTTGCTGGTTTTCTTTCATTCTTTCTTGGATCTGCTTGATGATCAGCAGCTGTTATTAATTTTTGCAAATCTTGAGTTTTTCTATCTCTCTCCTTCTTTCTTTGTTCAATTTTTCTTAATTCAGTTAATAACATTTGTTCTTCTTCTACCTGTTCCGGTGTTCTTTCAAATAATTTTTTTAACTGTTCTTTCCTGCGTTTTTCATGTTCAGCATCAAATATATAAACTTTATCAGTGTGAGATTTTGCTTTTGTCAAAGCTGCACATACTTGATAATATCTAAACAATAAAATATACAAATATACAAATAGTAATTGAAAAGTTTGAAATAATTACCTACCTTTCTTTCAAATCTTCTACAGATCTTGCAGGAAATTTTGTGCAATCCCATCTATCTTTGATTATGATAAACCTTAGATCGAACCTCCTACACAAATCAAACAAATGATCGGTTTCTGCTCTTGTCCAACCATTTGTAACCAAATGTTGAACATATTCTGCATTGGTATATGTTGGAATAGGAACCTTTTTATTAAACTTAGCAAAAGGATATTCTTTTCCAGCATCTGCAACTCGTCTCCAATGGTGAAAAACAGCACCATCTGCCCTAGCCGGATTAGTGAATGGTGTCCATTTCCATGGCCTAACTTTTTTCATACCAAGTTTAGCTCTAACTTGTTTGTATCCTTTTGCAGTATCCGTTGGAAATAACGGTGGTACATCATTATTATCTTTACAGAGCAATGCAAAGACTTCACGATGCATGCCTTCTGGCCTTTTTGGCACTTTGTATTCATATTTTTTACGATTTTTTTTGTCACTGCCTATAATTGATTCTTTTGTGAGCTCGCTAGTAGTGGGTACCTCGATGTCTAATATATCTCGTACATCTGCCATGCTTTCGAGTTTTGATAAACTTTTGTCCTTCCTGTAATTAGACATTTTATTTTGAGGTTAACACAAAACATTCTATAAATATATTACTGTATAGTGAATTTATGAGATAAAATTTATAATCATATATGAAAAATAAAATAGTTTCTTTATTGTATACATACATTGTTAAATATTTGTCCTTTTGTCATTCAAACAATCGAATTCAATCAAAACTGCAAATACTTTTACAGTTTTATAAGACACACTAACTCAGTAACGTCGTACAATTATTATGAATAATTCCGCTAGAGGGGAGTTGAGTAAATAAGATTTTATCTTTAATATTACAAAAATAAATAAAATTAAAAATTATATATTAATTATTCGATAGATATAGAATATACAATAGAAGACACAATAAAATTTATTGTACAAATTAAATATGAATATTGGTATATGAAAAATTATATATTTATAATTTGATGAAATATTATTGACAATTTAAGGGATAATTAGACAATAAAATTAGACAATATTATATAATAATAAACATTTTATGATTACGAAAGTTTCTATTTAATGATTTATGTACATATCACATTACAATTCAGTTCTTTGAAAAGTGATAAATAAAATTCTCATATTTTATTTAAATACTACTATTTGACTGAATAACTAATATACATATATAAAACTAATGTTGAAATTATAAATTTTTCTTCTTTTTATATACAATATGATTGTTTTTAAATCTATTTAAATATATAATGATCCATCTGCTGGACCTAAATATCTCATAGAAATAAGCATTACATCAATTAATGTCCATACTCCAAGTCCTCCAAAACTAAACAATTTACCAATTCCTTCTTGCCAATGACCCAAATAGAATCTGTAATACATATTCAAAATATGGATCATTTTTATTCAACATTCAATTCACCAAATATATAACATACCGATCAGCTCCAAAACCTCCTAAAGTGATGCTTAAAATTAAAGCAGTAGACCAACGATATCCCACAGTCCAATTGCATAATAAATTTTTCATAAATTTACGTCTTCCTAGACATAATATATCACCATTTACTGTACAATTTGTTCTATAATATTGTCGCGGAGAAGCAACAGAACTACAAGAATTTTTTTGATGGCATTCATGCTCCCAATGTTCTGTTTGATAACAGTAACGACATATATATTTTTTTTGAAAGGATTGCTCACCCTTGAAGTTTAATATATTAATTAGTATAAAAATATATATGTATATATACATGACATGTATAATAACATATAATATTGTATAACTTACAACACAATCAATATGTTCTAGTACAGAACAATTAGCAACATATACAGCTCCATATACACAATTAGAATCTAAATTACATTTTATACAATCTCCACTTAATTGTGAACAAGTAATACCACTTGGACATAATCTTGAAATCTCTTCCTATTAATATTATAATTATTTAATTTATAGTTATTTAAACACATTTTTTCTTGAATAAAAACATTGTTATATTATAAAAATAATTTAATTTAATTTTTATACTATTATTACCTTTGTACTACTATATGCTGGTGTAGAGTTTACATTAGCTTCTCTTTGTGCATATTTAATTGCAGTCTCTGTAATCAAAGTATCATTAGAAATATTTTGTATAAATATTTAAGCGAACTTAATATATAATTTACCATAACCCATATGAGCCTGTTTGACAGTAGTCGAAAAAATCGCCAGAAGAATAAAAATCACATTTCTCGAATTAATTCGAACAATATTCATTATGAATACTGTTTAATTAATTGAATTGATCTACACGTACACAAAAATTCAATAATATTTTTATTTATTTATGTATAGAATCATAACTGATTCATTCATTCAGCTCGTTTAAAATCTGAATAAAAAATTTTTGTATAAGAAAATTTTATTTTCTTTAGTTTTTTATAAAACAATCTTATAATTCAATCAATATTTAAAATCTAAATAATTTTAAATAAAAAATGATTGAATTTGTTCTTGATCAAAACAAAGCAATGTGATTCTAGAAACTAACGATCTTGAATTTTTTATATTCATTCCTTTGACGTTATCTAAATTTCTAGATAATGTACAGTAAATATATCTAATGTTTGAAAATCATAACATTGCAATTTTTTATCGAATTTTTTCATGAAACATATTATTAATTATATAATTTAATTATAGTATTTAAATATCTATGTACAAATTACATTGATTATAGTATATTATATTATAAATATATGATTTATTATAGCTAAGTGCACAAATAGCTATACGAATCTTTACGATTGGTTGATATTTTCCTTGAAGTGTAAGAATACATTATTTGTACACTATACTATGATGATTCCTAATTTAAAAGAAACTCTAGATAGTATTTCCTTTCAGACAAATAATAAATGTATAACGTAACGCGTATAATGATATTTTATAAATGTTTGATTATCTTATTGTGAAAAAGAGCTAAGAGAATTTTTCTCAATGTCGTTTGTGTTTATATTAATAAAACTTAATGTGAATTACTATATGCTATTATGAATGATTAAATAGGTTTGCTGAAAAAGAAACGTGTAAAAATATCAGACTTGTGTGTAACTACATTTGTTTCTACTAATCAGCTGACTTCCGGAACTTATATGAGAGAAAATGTTAGTGAGGCAGTGAGGCCTTTCATTCTTTTCACTTGACAGAACTGCATACTCACAAGATAGCAATTTTTTTAATTGTTGATAATTTTATTAATCGAAGACTGACACGTTTAGTTTTTTGTAATCTAAACTTGCTTAGAAAGAAACTAATGTTAAACTCTGTATAATCGTGTTGAAAAATAATTCGAAGGTAAATACTACTTATATACTACTAACACATTTTTATCATACATACTCTTATATGACAGTTATAATACTTCTATTTAAGACATTTTTTCGATTATAATTAATAAAAATAATAATTAAAAATTACATATTAATATAATATATTCATAATTAAAAGTAAAATAATAAAATTATTTTACTTGTTTTTCCAATAGGAAATTTGGTGCTATCATCTTAAAAAATAATATGAATTCTGAAGAAGGTGCAAGTAACAGTCAAAATAAAAATGGTACAAGATTAGAAGAAAATTTAAAAAAAAATAGCAATAAATCAATTGAACAGTCAACTAAAATTATACAACTTGAAAGTAAATTAAATGGAGATCAAATAAAATTAAGTAATAAATTGAGTGATAATGGTGCCAAGAATCATTTGTCTTCAAAGGCTTCAATTGCATTCGCTAATGGTACAAATTCTACAGAAGATACTACGTGTACCAGTTTTAATAATACTATGGACCAGGATACAAATCAAGACATATTAAATGCAAGTGTATCTCCCATGTTTTTAAATGCTAATAACATTAAATCTCAGACTGTAAACACTAATGTTACAAGTCAATTGAAGCATAAGACTGTAATGAGCACAAGTGCTTTGAATTTGCCTAAACCTCCTATGAATTTAAATTTATCTTCAAGTCAAAATAATATACATATGAATCATACTTGTATATCAGGAACTTATAATACTGGTACTACATCAAATGCTACTTTATATTTAAATAATTCAACATCAGTTTCATCTACAATACAGTCAAATTTAACAACAATTAAACCAAATGAAGATATTGATATGAAAAATAATGTAGATTATATTTCTGGAATTGAAAAATGTCCATCAAAAGTGTCATGCAGTTCAGACTCTAGTCCTGAAGTAGACAGTGTCTGGGTATCAAGGTCCTATAGAACTAATAGCTTGTTAAATAATATAGGAGGTAGTATAGGTTCAACAAGTCAAGGAACATGTTGTTTTTTGAGACCTAATATTAATGGAAATAGGGAAATAGCAGGACCGAGTGGATTGCAAAAAGTAAAAAGTTCTTTCATTATTTTATTATAACATATAAAACATATAAATTATAACATATAAAAAATTAATTTTATTATTAATTCATATATACTTTTAGAATACACAAAGAGAACAAAATGAGAGGAGAGATTCAAGTTCTGGGAATGAAGGTGATATGTCAGATGGAGAAGATTATTGTATTTATACATATAAAGGAAATGATGATGCAGTTCATTTGATTCAAAAGGAAGAAATAAATCAAGGACAAGTGGAAGAACATGAAGAGGAGGAACAATGCCATAGTGGTAGATCAAGTCCAGAAATGGATTTTTTGGAAATGGATTTTGATCCTGGGCCTTCTTGTGAGCAGGTATTGAATTGTGATGATAAAATTTACTCTCATATATATTTATTATTTTAATATTTTAAAATACAGGATACAGGAGATAGTGATTTGGCCTCTATTAATGAAGATATACAGAATATAGCATTAGACAATGTAGATCCTGATCCAGTATTAAATGACTTAAGTAGCGGTAAAGTTGTGACTAAACAAGGAATTGCAACTACATCTCAAAACTCAAAGCAAAGTGTACAAAATGTGAATAATGCAGAAATTCAGCAATGTTCCAGCAGTAATCCACATAATCCTGAACCAAGTATAAAACCAAATTATCCTTCTCCATGGATGCCAAGTACTAGTAATGCAATTGGTATATCATTTTTCTTATTTTGGAGTATTGAAATAATATATTATTCATTTAAAACATTATATTGAATTATTAATTTATAGGAAAATGGGAAACTACTAAAATGTATCGCAATACAAGATGTCCTTTACGAGAATCGTATGGATATCACAATACAAGCGGCGATCTTATTTCACCGGGTGACAATAGAGATTCAGACGCAGAATTATGGGTCGAATCTTCATCAGCTTCCATTCCAGAAAACTCGAATTTAAATTCTAGGAGAGTGAATCTCAGTTCAACTCTTTATCATCGTATGATGGCAAAGAAATTGATGCTCAATAAACAAGCTGCATTTAATCAGAGTGGTGACTCAAATCTAGTTAATATAGCTTATAATTTGATATATTATTATATATTATATGTAGCTACGATAATTTATTTGTTAATATATATATATATATATGTATATATAGGAAAACGAATTATCTAACGATCGTTTAGATGGCCTTTTACCAATTGAGAAAGTTATGTTATGGAGTGAACAAGAAGCTACAGTGAAACAAGTAACTCAAATAGGAACATCTGCATGTGGTGCTACTGCTGCAATAAATGCTTTGGTACATTTATTATTAAATATCTGTATTTTAATTATGTTTCACTTTAGATTATTTCAATTAATTTAAAATGATTTTTGTAGTTGGCTTTAAATGTCCCATTTTCATTAGAAACATTAGTAAAAGGTGTGAATACTAGACAAAGAGAGCCAGGTACACCACTACCACGATATTTATATAGTCGATCAGTGGCTGGATCAACACACGGAGATCTGGCCCGCGGCATAGCTTTATGTACAAATGGGTCAGTTATAACAAAATTTTTTGCATTTTATCCAGAAAGGAAAGTTTCATTGTCTCATTGGTTACATTATTGGATATCAAAAGGTATGTAATCAATAAAGTCAATGAGTCAACAATATAGATATACCAGCGTATTTTAGGTGCTGCACCCATAGCAACGCTAAATTTACAACATTGTGGAGAAGGATGTGATATTCCAGATGCATGGCATCATCAAATGATATTTGGTGTTGGACAAGCGGGAATTTATTTAACTAATCCATTGGAATGTTTACCTGAACAGGTTTGTTATTATTTAAATAAATTAATTACTTAAGTATTATATAAATTTATATAATCAATTTTTTAGTATGTTTGGCATCAACTTGTAAGTCCTAGTATTTTACTAATACGAAGAGCGGATGTCTTAGCTCATTGGAATCCTAATACAGATTTAACACCACTCGCTGCTATGGATCAAAAGTGGCGAAAGCTCAATGTTTTTGGTATGTATATTATTTAAACAACTCGAAATTTATTCTATAAAAATATTTAATATTATTCTTGTATCGTTTATCAGGTCAAGTTGTAAATATGATACGCGAAGCAATGACCCAGAGACGCCAACTTAATAATTTATCTACTGGAGTAACTCACATTCGTATTCCTGCATCTTATCAAGCAGGTATTACATTAGTTATGTGTGCAGACTCTTCAGCTGCTTCCGAATTGTTACATACCGAACAATTACCATTACTCTAGTCTTGTTGATCAAAATTATTAAAATTCAGGCTGCCCCTTTTTATTTGTAATAAATTTAATTAGCAGGCTGTCCGCACAATGTTATTCACAATAGCTCATTTACTAAATAAGGTGGGGTCAGAATCGAAATAATTTACATTTTTAACACAAAAAATGTTTGTATTCAAAGAGAATATTATTGATTAAAATATATTTCAATAGAATATTTCTGTTTTATACGCAGTTATTTTATAAATTCATACATTAAAAAAATATCAACAAAATTAAAAACTTTTATGATAAGATATTTTTTAATACATGATATCAAATTAAGTTGTCTTTGACATTAGATATAATATAATAAAGGTAAGTATTAATTTCATTCCATATAATTGGATTAACATTTTATTATTGATTTTTTTTATTTTTTTTTTTTTTTTTTGTAGAATTGAAAATTATATTACACTCAATTAATCATCGTTTGAGTAGTCCATAGTAAAACTTAATATATTTTATATAAATTTTACAGAATTTTGTCACAATTATTTTATATTGGAATTATACAGAAAATGTGCTTGATGAAATTAGTTTGAAAGCACAATATTATTATTCTTTTGTGCAGTTGTATTGACATAAATATTGTATTTATGTACATACATAGCCTACTGTTAATCATTATTTTTACACTCTCTTAGAGAGGTTGACTTTAAGACATACTGAAATAAATAAAAGATATTAGTTAGTATTATAACAAAATATATTTGAATGTTACAAATAATCTAATGTACATTACCTTTCTATAAGTGATGCACGCATAGTTGATGTAATGGCAGCTGGTGCAGCTTCATTAAGTTTAAAAACACTTTCAATAACTGAAAGTTCTGTTGAAGTTGTATCCATACCACAAAAAGACACCCAGTCATTTACAACCATTCCTGCAGCTATAACATCACTGCCTCTATTTACTGTACCTGCCTACATATTTTACTTTGGTAATAAATATTTAAATTTTTTATTTTTTAGATATGTAAATTATCTTACAGCAAGTGGCACTTGTAACAAAGATGACAATTCATCTTGATCTTGTATGGATGTTTTTGGATGAACTAATCCACCTTGATTTGATAATACAGAATATGATCCTACTAAAACATTGCTTGCTACAGTTTGTCTAAATACTTCTACATTCAATGTATCTGCTAAAATTTCTTCCGTTTCCTATAGAATTATATCAATTATAAGTATTGTTAATAGGACAAGGCTAATTAAATATTTATTTTTGATGTAATACTTGCTCTATCAAGATCAGGATGTACTAAAGCCACATAATCATTGCAGGCAATAACATTGCCCAAGGCAGATAATCTTTCTTCTACTCTTTGTACTTTAACCTTATCTGGCAGTGAATTTCGTATATGCTGTAATTCTGTGTCTGTCGTCGTATTTGGAACCAACAATCCATTTTTATTCCTGTTTAAATATTTATTTATTATTTTTTTTTTTGCAAATTTTTATTTAAACACAATTAATTTCAAATTTTGAAGGTTAAAATTTTGCTTTTACTTACCAACGCATAATCGTCCAATTATACGACATCCTGCAACTGACGCGTGTATCACAGGAATAGTTTCAGCTAATTCTGCCTCAAACACACTGTAATTAACCAATAATTTGTATTTTATAAATTATGAATATTTTATGTCAACACATGTCACATATTATAAACTTAATAGTCGCTTGAAAAAATTATTGCGCAATATAATGTAATCTTCTATAGTTTGTTATTGATGCGATTATAGATAAAGTGGTATCGATTTATACTTATCTTTACCTGTAAAAATTCTCGGAACCACCAATTGCTACAAGGCAATAAGAATTTGTCAACTTGGAGAAAACTCCAACTTCATTATTATTTTCGAATTGCACACGTACCGCCATGATTTTAACGATATAAATTTACATTAGCGTACTGAATTCAGAAATTGTTGCAATATCCTTTATCAATGTTTAAAATATACACGCTAACCTATATTTCAAGTACGTAATTTCTTCTAACCGCTAACACGAGGTTTGTATCGTGAATTACGAGATACTGATTCAGTACAGACATAGAAGAGAAAACCACTAAATTATTGTATCTGCCCTCTTGCGATGAAATATTGAAATTATATTATTTCAAAATTTATCATGAAGTTTCTACTCTACCTAATAATCGGATAATTTCGTCATTGTGTATAATTGTTTGAAACGATTTGTATTATTTCGAATAATATAAATTTCGTTATTTTCAGTATAAAGACAATAAACGAAATACGAATTATTTTGTCAAAATATATTATCTGAATTATTAAAGTGCATTTTATTCAAAATTCAACTTTATTTTTGTTATAATAATAGTTATACTTACGTTTTCTTAATCGTATACGAATGTTTAAAATATATGTGAGTATATAACATTTTTTAATAATATATTATAATTTTTAATAATAAATTAATAATGTTATATTGAAATAGTGGATACATTTCAATGATTTTCAACAAAATATAAAATTATATAAAACATGCAATCAGGTATTATTAATATTTATAATTAATTAAGATAAGTGATGTTTGCACAATTCCTTTATTGAAAGTTTTTTCATAATATTAGCAACAATTATGTGGAAAAAAGAAATATATTCAAATCGTTGCGTTAATTTTTGAACATTCGACAATGTACGAACATCATCGTAAGTAAGTTCGTTTAATATTAATAAAACCAATAAATATTCAAAATTACCGTTTTATTAACAACATTATCGCAAGCATTATAAATACCCTTCGAATATAGTTTTCATTTTGATTGGTACCGACATCGTAAAGATCGTCTTTGTCGGGGCAGTTGTTATTATTATATAATAATGGCAGTATTATTTGCGCGAAAATGATTTTTCACTATGAAATCTATTAACATAAATTAATTAATATTAAAATTCACAATATTGTCGAGTTCTTCAATAGTCTCGAATTATAAATGCCGACAATACCAACCGAATAGTGCTCAGTGTTCTTATTCGAGCGATAATTTCCTTCGAATCTGTACAGGAAAAGGAAATTTGTCGCACGAAAAAAAAAGAAAAAAAGAATTTAGAACAAAGATTCGTTGGCTGGTATCAATATCGATCGACGATATGAAACATCTCACTTTGCATCGGATACGTTGACGAACGTAACAAAGAGATGAGCGAAAGAGAGGTGGAAAAGACAGCAAATTATGCGTCGATTTCCTTTGTTTTGATTTTATGCCACTTTTCAGTCTCGTCCTATCGATTTTTCTACCATTTTCACCGTTATTTTCTTCTCATTTCTGATGTTTTTTTATTTTCAGTTTCTTGTAGGATGCGCGCATGTGTGTGCGATCAATGTGTACATCAATAGAAAATAGAAATAGTAAAATCTTCAGTTCGAACTCGGCTTGAACGTCGTGTACTGCGGCGGCTTCTCGATCTTGCAGTGGGGCTTCAGGGTTGCTAAACGATCTGGTTTGAGAAACAGCTGCTCCCCCTGCACAATTTTCATCTTAAGGATCTTAAGAGGATACGAATCTGGTCGCGTTCAAGGCACGCATGTAACCAGAAGCATCGGAGAAATAAAACTCTACAGATATATGTACATATGCTACGGGTGATTATATAGCATTTGGGAATGGTAAACTATATAATATATATAAGTGTGGTTTGTGCAAATATTTTCGTATACGAGAAAGAAACAGGGCCGTTTTATACTTCGGATTATGATCGGCTCATTGTTTTCTACGTCATTGTTACATATATAGTTATTGATGAGCATTCATTATTGCGTATCAATATTGATACGATTACCAAAATGATGCATTTTATTACGTAAACATGTTGATAAATAAAATATGGCAGATAACAATTGCATGATATAAATTTTGTTTTCATTAATGGTATATATATTTTAATATAGTTTTTATAAACGCATCATTTTGTTCGATCACAATATAATATAAATGTATCTAATGAGTTTTAAATATTCGCAAATACAAAATGAATATATGCGTGTACGTTAATATTATTGATATCGATGTAAATAATATAAATATATCGAACTGATGAACGATTTGAATAAATATTTAAAGTGGTTAGCTAATCAAAATTTCATAATACATTGGAATTCTTGTTTAATCTAAATATTTATACTTTTCTAAAGCAAAACTCTTCATTCTCGTTCCATAAAACGGTCCTGAATTCATTTAAAATCTTGTATCAAACGGGAGATTGGGAATGTGAAGCAAACAGTGCTCGTTGTTACGCAAACATGTCATATACCGCATACGAGTTCCAAAGAGAACAGATTTCGTATTGATAATTCGTATATCCGCACAGCATGCTCGCAATCGTTTTCACGAGTGTGAAAGGGAGTATTGCTGGGTGTGATAACAAACGGACAAGCATACGCATCTGTATGATTATTTTTTAATGATAACATGATACACGAAAGAGAGTATTCTAAATTTGTTCGAGCTGTTTCTACGCAAAATATCGTACAACATCGTCTCACGTAGATTGCTCGGTTACAGGTTATGAACAAAATGGCATCAATGATAGTCTCGAGATGCGAGCAGCAAAGCTAATTAATCGTTACAATGATTTTACGCAATGATAATGACGATTCGTGATCGGACGAAGTGCAAGTGAGATGAAATGGAGGAAAGAAAAAAAGAGAGAAAAAATGAAAGAGAAAGAATAGGAGAGAAGAACGTCTCGATGAATATAAAAGGTATGCATACACAAATGTTAACATGCACGTGGAATTTGCGATGTCGTAACATGCTTGATTAATGATCCTTGTCAAACGCGAATCAAGGGAAAATTCCCTCGAGCCATTAAAATTAAATCCTTTACGATTTAGCAATCATACCGTGCACGTTCTACATCTGTTCAAGGATTGGTTTAAGTAAATAGTCGTTTGCTTTTCTCTATCGATTTTCGAAGAATCAATTACACGTGTGTACAACATAAAACTTAACGTTTATTGAGTCACGGAACTATCTTGAATAATCGTTAACTTCGATTAATGATTAGCATTATGGTAACCTATTTGTATTGAGCGGCGATTCTCGCTAATTACCGATACGCTTATTTGAACGAATAGATCGGTAATCGAACATACGATTATCTGTGGCTTTTAATTACACTGGCGGATGCACACCGTCCGATTATTATAATAATAATAGATTCGTCGATAATGCGATTTATCGTAAGTAATTATCTTCACAACCGTGTCTATATATTATAATTTTATATATATATATATATATATATA